GAAAAGAAAAGAAAAGAAAAATCGTGACGTAGATTTTTGTTGTAAATGCATGTTTTTGAATCTTCTACCAGTTCAAGTGAGCATGGAGTAATAAAGCTACAAGAAATGCGGCCAGAATCACTTACTGATTTGCAACTCTAATAATCAAACAAATATTTGGGAAGACAGATAAATAAATTAATAAAAATTCAAAGATTGAGAATTATTTTTCAATCCTTTTAATCACTGCCACATGTTAGTTCTTGTCACTCCTTGTTCTGCTAAATCATCAGTTCACAAACCATTTTAGTAAGTTGAAAGCAGATAAAAGTCAGAGGTACTGATAAACATCTAATCTGAGTTCCGATGACAACCAGACTCTCGGACTCTGCAACTGGTGCCAAACTAAAGCTCATCCAATTGCTTTTTATCCATTCCATAGCTTGGATTACAAAATCAGTGCATTTTGTGATTTTTTTTTTTTTTACCATTTACCAAAGGTGTGAAATTTGAACAAGTAAATCTGTTTTGTCTAGAAAAACAAGGAATATTGTCAAATCCAAAATTATTTTTCTTTTTATTTTCAAACTTACACAAATGTGATTATAGTCTCACAGTAAAGACATTTTAAAAACTGTTCTGTTTTAAATCCCATCCTCTGTCGGCTTGTTTCACATCTTCTCAGCAAAATAAGAATTTGTTTCAGAGTACATGGAAAATGAATCCAGTTGTGTTTTTAATATGTTTGTGTAAAGGTCCTACAGTCCAGCTGACATGCTTAATATCGCTGAGGCCAACAATCCTCTTCAGTATCCCACCCAGGGTGTGGAGGTGCAGCCCCTTAAAACAATCCTCATTCCAGGTAACACAKTTAGCATCACACCATATCAAAAACCTATAACTTTAACTGATTTCTAACATGTTTGCACAGGTCTGGCACTCAAACAGAAAGAAAGATCCAACTATATGGTAATTTCTGGATTTTAAAGTCTGTGTTAAAAGTTGTTCAAAGTCCAGGTTTTTTAGTTCCCTTTTCTCCTCCTGTACCAGGTACATTTAACAGCAATGCTGGGGACCTTTGACGTTGCTGCCACAGTGGACATGGTGTCCATTACAGGAGAGGGAGAGAAGCAAATGATGCTGTCAAGTCGTCTTCTGTCTGCTCTGAACAGGCAGCTGCAGTTTGTCACCTACACAAACAAGATGTTTCATCCGAAGACAGCAGACTCAAGTAAAGTTGTCATGTTGATATTATGCTGACACAAAAAAAAGTCGTGTCGTTTTTTTCAGACTCGTGAAAGAGAAATTCAGAAGTGAAAGCTAGCTGCCTGACTGTTACAATATAGAGGCTCAAGGGTTTTATTTGTATTTATTGAACAACTCGGTGTTAACTCCATGATAAACTTTTCTGAAAGCAACCTGGCCAAGAGGAAGCAAATACAGGAACAGGAAAACACAAGATGAGCAACATATGTGAGAGGTTAACAGGCAAAGAACTAGAATAAGATCATTTACAAATGAATGACAACAGAGCTTGTGGCTGAAATAGCTAAAATCATGTGCAGTGGTCATCAAGGTCATGCRTGCTCTCACTGATTTTATTATTTAACATTAAATATAATATATATTTAATATTTTCTCACTTCTTATAAATGATGTAAACTTAGATTCATGTCATTTTTCTGCTTCATTTGACAGTTCAGTTTGCAACTGAAGGTCACCAATCGTTTTTCACCATCAAAGTTGGTCACAAGGTTGTTCCTAAACTCTACAACTCTGGATACAGCAAAGGTTTGTGRGCACTTACTGTCCTTGAGTAGCAGTTTAATTCATTGAAGAATGCTTTATTAGATTTTTTTTTTGTTTGTTTGTTTGTTTGCGCTCAGAATACAACATCACTTCTTTGGTTACCATTGCCACCAAGACCTTTTTACGCTACGACAAACTCAAAGACCTCATTGACAGCATACGGCAGTTTTATCCCAACGTCACCATTGTGATAGCAGATGATAACAAGCACCCCCAGCCAGTGACCGGTCCTCACATTGAACAATACATCATGCCRTTTGGAAAGGTAAAAAAGAAAAAAAATTGCATTTTTTTCAGTGTTTTGTGCTGGGAGACCCAACAAATGCTGATATATGTTGCTTGTTTTAATTTACAGGGTTGGTTTGCTGGAAGGAACTTGGCAGTGTCTCAGGTGACCACCAAGTACATGCTCTGGGTGGAYGACGATTTTATTTTCACTGCAAACACCAATCTGGAAAAAATGGTGGACATCCTGGAGAAGACCACTCTGGATTTGGTGAGAGAGGCCTGCCAACTGTGTATTTTTTTAACATGCAAAACAAAATTCCTTATGTATTTTTCAAGGACGTAGTCCTGTAGACCTGGGAAAGTACATTTTCTGAAGAACAGGGGCAAGTACCGAGACTCTTAAAAGACTTTTAAGTTTGGGAATATATATCTTTGACTTCCAAAAATACATTTCCTCGATGAAGGCATTTTTTAATCTGAAAAGGACTGGACTGAGAAGTAGTTATTATTACAAGCTCAAMAGGCGTGCAGTTCCACCAGGACCCTCATGTATAAATGGTGCGTACGCATAAAAAAGTTGCGTGCGCCAGGTTCTACGCCCAYGTTGGGATGTATCAAAACCAACGTAGYRTGAAAGTCTGCRTATATTTTTCACCTGCCATGAGAATGTGCAGTAGCCACGCAAAGTTTTTCAGTTGCCAGTTTTAACCCACAAAGTCATGAATCTGACCTGAATCCACAGAAATGTGACTCTGTTCTGTTTTCTGGATGTAAGGAGCGTCTCGACACGGAGTTAGATTATTTTTTTTTTTTGTTTGAGTTTTATTGTTTAAACTCGAACGATCACGAAACTGAACCCCGGGACTGAAAATCATTTAACCTCAGACAAGAAAATAGATCAGCCTAAAAATGATCAAAGAACCTCAGCCCAGTCTGTAAACTGTAAAGTTTTTATATTGTTGTCACGTAGTTGGAAACACACAGAGAGCGCAGGCCTGCGACGGAGAGTCACAGCTATTCAGTTCCTCTTTCAGGATAAGAGATTTCTCACAGAAGTTTTGAAACAAAACTCAGTGGAGTCCAGTGGTGGATGCTGGTCTTTCAAGAAGAGGAAGCTCAGTTTCAGCCTACATCATAAAATGTGTGGGTTATAAATTCTACCCTCCATTCCTTTTCAAGCAAATGATCTGTGACCCTGTCACATATCATTTTGTTTAGTTTATAGTATTTATTCATTTCATTTTTAAAAACAAAACATTACATACAACAAAACAATACAAATAAAATAAAATGAAAGTCAGCAGAAGAAAATTTTTTGTCATAGTCTGTATTCATT